CGAATCCCCTCAGAAAATTCGTAGAAAGTCGTCCAATTTTTCCCAGCCATTAGTCTCGGCCGACCAGCGAAATTCCGACGGTGAACCACCAGCTACCACCGGCTGAGTGCTAGCTTTAGTCACGGCTAAGCAGACCCAAGCCATGGACGACCGCAGCTCAATTTGCGCGGTAATCACGTCATCCAAACCTCGAGCTGCAAGCGCGACTTGGAGCCCCATTTTCCCAGCGAGAAGGCAAACAACGACCCTTGACCTATGACGGGTCTGCGACATACATGAGAATCAAAATCCGACGACGAGTCGTGTCCTTATCTAACAAATTGAGGAAGTTCCCGACAGTCGGCCTTTCACATTGACGCGAAGTAGGCAACCACAACGACCGAAGGAAGTCCAGCAGACCCAAACTTGTTTAGCCGTCACCGAACCTATTCACCGAGAAGGTATATGGCTGCCTCTTGTAGCTCTAGTTTTAATCGATATATGATGTACTTTATGGGCTTGATTTCAGTTTTATATGGATAAGAAGCCTGGTTGGAATTTTAGAGAGTTAAGCATGTTTAAGTTTGATGAAAAGAGAGCTGGTATGTGTATTGTTATGTGCTGGATATATGCAGGTTCTTTTTGTGTAAAGTAGCTATTATGATCAGTCTAAGGGCCTGCTTATTGTGCTTTGAATTGTTTGAAATTTGAAATGAAATAGAGCATGCTGAGGTATGTTTTTACCTTGTGTGGCTGGGCACTTTTTAGTACCAAGTAGTTGCTGTTAGTGAGTTGTTTAAGTGTTAAGTTTTAGTTTTAATTAAATTAATATGCATGCTTATGTTTTAAAAAGAGAGATGCTTGTTTTAGGTGTCAGTCTGGCAGACATTGATAATGTTGTATATGACATGTATATGCCGTTAATTGTTGGAGTACCAGATTTTACGTTCAGTTATATGCCCTATTGAAAAGTAAAGCAGGTATTGCTTAGAGAAAAGCATGTTATTATGATTTTAAAACATGGGATGTATAGCCTGTTTATGCGCATACTTTGCTGAGCCTTTTAGTGTCTTATATGCCATTGTTCTGCTTAATTTTCCAACATTTTAGAACTCAAGTACCAGCTTTTAAAAAAAAAAAAAAGGTCTTCAGGTGATGAACTTTCCTTAAGTTTCAAGGGAAAGTGAGTTACTTGTTGTTGTAGGGACCTTGTCTTAGTGAGAATTTTTTAGCAGGTGATGAGCCTCTGTTCTTGTGGTTTTAATGTTGCTATTATGAGTGTTTAAAAATTGTTAAATTTCAGTTAAGAATCAAGTTTTAAGCTGCTCAAAATTATAGAGTTCTTGAATATTGATAAGCATGAGTACGAGTGGTCTTTTGTCTTAATTAGTTGTAGTAATTTGTTGTAGTTGTGTATATTTGATTTCTTTTGTTAAATTTGTGGTAGATGTTTTGGGTGCTGCTATATGTGTTTTATCTGCCTTATGTATTTTTTTTATGTCCTTGCCTATCTTATTTGCCTATTTGTCTGTTTGTTGTCACCTATATTAATAAGAAGAAAAATTATTTAAATCGTAGATTTTGAGGAGTCGAATCTCGAGAGTTGTTCCGAGTGACATCAACTACTCTTCAGTTGCACTTTTTCCTCACATCCGTTATCAGGTGGGGGTTCTATACTATGGTTTATTCTTTATAAACATACGGTAGTATAGTTTTTATATGCATGTGATTGTGGGCCGGTGGGCCTATTGTATGATGAGAACTTTTACCATGGCGGCTTGAAATAAGAGTCACTAGGTCGGGTAATTATCAGTTAAGTTTTCTACTAGTGGGACTGGGTAATGCCAATGGCACTAGTAGAGTTATTTATTAGCGGAATCGGTTGATTCCGAATGCACTAGTAAGTAACCATACCGACGTTCATGAACATAGGTTAACGGCGTATAATAGCTAATTAGCCGGGTAAATTATGGAGGCTTGAAATAAGAGTCACTAGTC